ATCATCATCATCATTATCATTATCATTATTGAATGCTTATGGGATGCAATGTGGATTTAGAGGTCTATATTAATGCAAATTCATTTGATATATGAAAAAAAAATAATAATAAGAATGAAATAAGAGAAAATAGCAAGTTCACATAAATAAAACAGTATACTTATCCTCTTTGAAGCACGTGACTATAAAATCAACCTATGAAATGTGAGCCTTTTCAAAATAATACTAACACTTTATTCAAAATTAATGTATGGTAATATAGTATTAAAAAGCTAGCAATAATCATAAAAGTAGCTTCAACAAAGTTAACATTTTTTTCTTTTCACCCCTCCCAAAAAAAAAAAAAGCTTTATTTTTTTTGGTTTCTCCTAACAAAAGCTGCTGCGTACACAAGATTTCAAACTCAAGATCTTGCTTAAACTAGAACAAGCCGCTTGCCACTTGATCCAACCCTTTGTTGGTAAAAAAAAAAAAAAAAACTTTATCAAAGTTCATGAAAGTAGCTATATCAAAGTTACCTTTTTTTTCTTTTCACCAAAAAAAAAAAACCTTTATCAAAGTTCAATTGGAGACTATAGCTGCAAAATGTAATTAATGTTTTTTTTTAAAAAAAAAATTGGTATAAATCAATCCATAACTTCCCAATTTTGCTTGATTTTTCCACACGGTATCAGCTTTAAAGTCAAAGTCAACCACTGAATACAAAATTGGAGATGAAGGATCCTAGATCTTCCCAATTGCTTGACTTTTCTATGTGCTTTCTTTACACAATTTAAAAGTTAAAATCCCTAAATTCCCAAGAAAATCTACAAACTTAGCATATTTAAGGCCCAACGAAAATGGGCTAAAATCCAGCCCTTATCTACAAAGTACTTAATAAGGGCCCATCTATCCTAACTAGCCCATTACATCCCCCATCTTTCCTTTAGGCTTTCTAGAAGTTGCTGACTGCTACAAGCTCCGTAATTGCAGCCAACTCAATTTTGGTGCTTCATTCATTCACTCCTCGCACTCTTAGCCTCTTTGGTTAGTTTCAAAGTGCAATCCTCCTCCACCAACAATATGAAGATCCAGTCTATGATTTCCTCCGGCCAACCTCATCCTCCACCATCTCCTCCATTTCCTTCTCCGATCTCAACATCACCGAGGTATGCATATTCCCCCCTCCCCAATCCTAATTATCTCATTTGAAAATTGAAATTCTTCCATTCATCTTATTTTTCTTCCTTTTTTACACTCTACATTTTCCTTTTTCATGATAGCAGCACAACATTGGGTTGCCGTTGCCGTAAATGTAGAAAATGGCGCCAGTTTTGTGTTCATTAAGGACTTCAGGATCGACAACAATGACTCTACAATTTAGGAGATCAGGATCGCTTTCGAGAATCTTTAAGACCACCTTGATTTTTTCCATGTGAGCTTTGTTTTAATCTTTTTTTGTCTACTTTGAGTTTGCTTGCGGTTTTAGTTTGGGTTTTTCTTTTTTATCTTTTTTTTGGCAATTAGAAATAAGCATAAAGAAATATTGTTTTCTATGTATAGTTAGTGAGTTGCATTGTAGTTCTTACTTTGCTGCTTGGTTCTTATTGGGTATATGTGATGGTTGGCCCAGGAAAAATGAAGATCAAAACAAATAATCAAGAGATATGTCAAGAGTTGGAATTACCATTTTTAGCAATTAAGAGATTATGTGGTGGTTGTTATATTAGCGTATTTTTTGTGATTTTAGTTCTTAATAGACTGCTTAATACCTATCATTTGTTATATTCCTTTTACATTTAATTACATGGCTTATTAATCTTCTAGGAGGTTTTGGCATAATTTTCAATATACTGAAGTAGATAACTCTTTATCTACAACGGAAGAGTAAATAACTAAATATTACTTTAGGTTGTGCACAGAAAAACTACAATTTTTTTATTTTTTTTATACAATTCTGCAATTTTTTTTTTCTTTTTAGTTATGATATAGATGTAAAATAAATTTAGTCCTACCTCTAGAAAGTTCAATGGACCTTTGAGTTGTTAAGTTTAATTTTGTTTCAATAATCTCTGTAGGCTGGTCTTTGGCTTTTTTGCTTTTTAGAGAAAAGATATTCATACGATTCCATTTCTCTACTTTTTATTGTCTGTAGTCATAGCAACTCTAATATTTTTACATAAACTTACAATCAGTAGGCATTCATTATATGGCACTCTCAATTATATGTTTTGCCTCTTTTTTGCTTGCAATTTCAATAGGCTCCCCAAGCAGGTTTAAAGTTTTGCTACAATTTCTGCAAAGGTTTTTCACAAATATTTTTCATGATTATATTCATATACATTTTTCCTTTCTATCCTACAGATGGCTGACCAACAAATACTTGATAGGTAATAATGCAGTAACCTATTTGCAAATAGTTAAACTTCGTGTATAATTCAGTGGCTTATCTTTTTTCCATGTTGTTATTGAAAACAACCTTAAGCTCAAGGGTCTTTTTCTCTTGCACTTTCCTCATCCACTTTTTGTCTGGTATCATCAGTCAAGCTTACATTCTTCATCCCAGACCAAGTTGTTTAAATTATACAAAAAGATAGAGGTTCACACATCATCTGGATATGTGCAGAGGAAGAATCATCAACGACGTATGGCTTGTTGCATTAATGCGCATCCTAGCTGTTTGAGCAGTGATTGTGAAACTTGCTTTATATCTTCACATACAGGTCTTTGTTTTCCCTCATTCTTTCCTCACTTGAAAATCGAATGGACTATAATATATCATTTTAATAGATTAAGTAACATCGGTTGTCCTTAGTACCACGTTCTATTGACATTTTATAATATATCCCTCCTAATAATGTAAGCAATTCTTTCAAGGGTTATCCCCCATGACTGCATCACCTACACTGCTTAACTCTACTTTTTCTGACATTTGCAGACCCACGTACTTAGAGGACTAGCTGGCATTTTAAAACCCCTAATTTGTGCAACAACATTGATGGACTGTTGGATTATGACCATTACTTTGGCCACTTTCCATCGGTTTTGTTCTTTGTACTGTGTACTAGCTTAACCAATGTGAGTTGGTCCTAAGGTCATCCTCACAATACTTTTTAAGATTTTCTTGCATCCTTTAGCACTTATAAAGATCCCTTGAATTGATAACATCATGAGAATGTTTGTGATTGTATTACTTGAAAACTTGTTAAGAGGGGTTTATTGGTCTAAGGCACTTGAAACGTTCTGTTATTTCAGTTGCCACTATATTGAGATAGAAGAGGTTTGCATTGGTTGTAGCAATGTGCATCCTATCTGTCGGAGCAGTGATTTTGCAACTTGCTTTATATCTTCGCATAGAGATCTTTGTTTTCCCTCATTCTTTCCTCACTTGAAAATAGAATTGACTATAACATATCATTTAATAGAATAAGTAACAGATTTAAGTAACAAACTTTGTCCTAGATACCACATTCTATTAACATGTTATAATATATCCCTCCTACTAATGGAAGCAGTTCCTTCAAGGGTTATCCCATGACTGCATCACTTATACTGCTTAACTCTACTTTTCTGACATTTCCAAACCCATGTATTTAAAGGACTAGCTGGCATTTCAAAGCTCCTAATTTTACAACAGCATTGATAACCCCACCCATGAATTAGACTAACCAAAAAAAGTAAACGTACAAAATTACAATTAACTGCTTTCTTTGTTTTCCCAGATTCTTCTCCTTCCCAGACAGGTTGATTGATGCATTAGGAAGGTACACCCATCACCCATGGTTGGAGCTTGATTCTTGATTCTGCCAATGCAGGATTTTTCCAAGAGAGTCATTTTAATAATACCCTAACAAATTTCGCATTCGGTGTAGTCCTATTTCATCACATCTGAATGTTTTTTTAATCTCTCAGGTCAACTTCGAATTATGCAGCTGCCTATGACAACAATGCTTGATTTTTCTCGATGGGATGGATGCCTTAATGCCTCAGGTCATATATGCCAATTCCATTTTATTAGTTTCTGTTAGTGTTCTTTTTTGTGTGTCTGTCTGCATGCAACTCAATTAAATAATCAATTGGAAAGAAAAGTACCCATTTATTGCAAATTTGAACACCAATAACACACCAAAAAACATGATGCAAATTTAGAGCCATTGCGACATCTTGGGGGGGTGAGAAGTGGGTTGCAAAAGAGGATGGATACCTCCTGTTGTTGTGTAACTCATGAATAAAGAAAACTCTACGTAATTAGGCTTCTCTGCAACCGTTCTGCTTAATTTTCATTTTTAATCAAACTAGCTGATTCTGATTCTGTCTCATATCATCATATGACGAATAACTAGAAAGCTCTGTGGAGTTGGTTTTCATTTTAGCATCATCTTCTTCAGTTGCATATGGATAAATTTGGAAGGGCCTAGGAGGCATTTGTAAACTTTCAAGATCCGCTTCAAGCATCTCCACCACTTTGTTCATCGAAGGAGGGTCACTTGGTTTCACCTGTATACACCACCAAGCCACAATGATCATTTTCTTTGCTATTCTCTTTTCATCTTCCATGGCTTCTTTTATTTCCAGCTCCGTTCCTTTATTCAATTGTTGAGAAACCCATGTAGGAAAGTAAATTTGACTCGAATGCTTTACATATGGGTTTAAATTCATTCTCCTGCTAGCTTTTTCCATCAACAACATTCCAAAGCTATAGACATCAGTCTCGTGTGGGACACCTCCGATGTTTCTATAGATCAACTCTGGTGCCATGTACCCTACTATTCCTCTTACTGCAGTGAGGGACACGATGCTATCTTTTGTCAGATATAATTATGCAAGACCAAAATTAGATATTTTTGGGATGAAGTTGTTGTCTAAAAGAATGTTGTGAGGTTTGATGTCAAAATGTAAGATTCGCATATCACAGCCTTGGTGTAAATAATCAATCCCATGAGCCACTTCTAGAGAAATCTTGTATAGTCTTTCCCAACCCAAGGTTGTACTTTCTTCTCTAGGAAAAATGTATTTATCAAGAGAACCATTAGGCATGAAGTCATACACAAGAGTGCGGTTTGAACCCTCAGCACAAAAGCCAATAAGTTTTACCACATTGACATGATGAATTCTTCCAATTGTTGCTACTTCACTGAAAAAATGTTAACTTGTGACTTTGGATTTTCCCAATAACTTGACTGCAACAAGACCACCACTCTTAAGCCTTGCTTTATAAACTTTGCTGAAACCTCCTTCCCCCAGTTTTACCTTAAAACCATTGGTCATCTTCTTGATATTTGGGTAAGAATACCTTACTGGCATAAGGTTATTGTTACTTTGCAAGAATTCTTCTATATAGTTGCACATAGATAAAAGCCTTCTCTGCCATTTATATAACAAAAACACAATGAAGCTTGGAATTCCAAAAGCAGATGCTACCCCATGAAGTACACCTGTGAGTAGAAAGAGATATATATTGATATAATTGGTTATCAAATAAAGCATCCGATGAATATTTCATGCTTCTCTTGGAATTCTTAATATTATTTTCTTGTAATCTCACATGTGCTTGAATTTTCATGCTTCATGATTCAAGATGGTGTAACAAGGATAAATGAAAAAACAATAGCTCCTGAAGAGAAAGGTTGTAATTACCTAATATGAGTGCTGTGTAGATTAAATAAGTGTAATGCATGACCAAAACAGCAAAATATACCAGAAACCAAAATCAGAGAGAAGCAAGACATTGAATTTGCATACGGTTCATTAAAAAAAAAAGAAAAAACCCCAAAATTAGCGAGTTGCATTTGCATATGTTTAATCAACGAGCAACATATGTTTGTTACGTACCAATCCATATAGAAAGGTCAGGAGAGCACCAAAGCTCAAATCCATATGATAGCTAATCGTGAAAATCTAGGTATGTAGTGTTGTTATCACTTATCCCTCTTGAAGAAGAAAGAACCATCAGCTCAATCCAGCATGACTTCTCTAATTCAAATGCTGTTGTTCTTCCAATCTTAGCATAATAATACCTTTTGGACTTGGAGTTGGAAAATTTAGTAGCACCAATGCAAGAGGAAGCATCCACATAGTGAATATCATTTATTGGCTTTCCACTGTTTAGGAAAAGAAGAGCTTCTTCAGAATATGAGTGATATGGATCACTGTATCTTCTGTCCTTATCAATGCCAAGGGAATAGAGAGGCAGTGAGGAACAGTTACCTTGAAGAACACCGGGATCCACAACTTTGATTATTGAGTGATTATAATCGCTTTCCTGCACATAGAATTTTGCTGCATTAAGTTGCAAAACTGTGGCACTGTTCTCGCAGAATAGATTATACTTTAAGTTTCAACATTTGGGTGGATCGGTGTTTAATCGGAAAGGATGATGAATATTTAGAATATTGCCACAAGAGGAAGCTGGACATTGATGGCTTGCTTTCGCACTGCACTTTTCATGAGAAAAGGCAAGAAGAAGGGCTGCAAAGAAGAGCCCTGTTCTAGCCATAGTGACGCAAGCAGAGATGAGAAAGCTTTTACTCAGTTTAATACTAAATGGTGATGGAAACCCACAATTGTTTTTTTTCTACGTGAGAACTTTGAAAGTCAATTACGTAAATGTGCTTCATCGGATAATAACTGGGTTTCAATTTCGCGGCAAGTTCAGAAACGCTGACTATCGCTATTGGTTATTGCCCTATTGTGAAGAGTGAAACTAATGCAACCCCACAATTGAATTTTTCTACATGAGAATTTTCAAAGTCAATTCTGTACATCACCAAATAATGCCTAGGTTTCAATTTCTTGGCAAGTTCAGGAACATTGACTATCACAATCGGTTATTGTTTTATTAAGTCAAATGAAACTGGAGCAACCCTACAACTTATTTTCTCTACACCAAAATTTTCAAAGTCATAGTTGGCTTCTTTGCTGGCAGCTTAACTCTATCTTTGGAATTCTCGCAAAAAATTTTGAGGAAATGAACTCTTGATACATGATTCAAATTGAAGTTTAATTAAGTTTTGAAACATAAAAATGAAC